CCTTTCCTCGTAGTGAACTGGTTTTATTTTTCCCAATTAACGAAGCGTGGCCTTCTTTGCGCTCTCTTCTGCGGATTGAGCGAAGATGTCGTGTCTGGTTGATCCCGGTCAGGCCTCGAACAGTTTTTTAGTGAAGATTTGCTAATGAAACGATTTGCCAACGAACTCGTATTCCCCATTCGTAGGTCCATTGTCGACCAGGAACCAGGCGTTCACTCCGTCCATGCATCGAGGCACCTCCGTCCAGCTGTCGTCAAGCCAACAGGCTGGCAACCAGACGAGTGGCCAGGCCTTGCGTGTGCACCATTTGTCAACTGGACCGCCGGGCTCGCAGGTGCGAGTGTCCGGTCACGGCCAATCGCGAGAGCTCAACAGTCCGGGACTCGGAGCCGGGTTCGCTGGTGGGCCAACCGGGTTTCAGGCCTTCTCCCCTCGGCTCATGAGTCCCGGCCCGATTGGCCAGAGCTCAGAACGCGGGCAACTGGGCAACGCGAGGGGCCTAAGCGGCGGTACCAGCAATCTGGGCCTCCAGACGGCCTCGAGCGGATTCGGCGCCCTCGCCTCCAACTCGTCCATCCTCAGCGTGAACACAGCGCATCCAGTCCAGACCGAGCTCGGCCAGCCGGGCGACATCGAGGCCTTCTCGGGACTCGGAGCCGGAGGCAAGCACGCCAACGGGATGACCACGGGACCGAGTGACATCCTATCACTGACCGGAAGCAGCCAGACAGCCATCGGCATGCCCGGGCCGACCGTGCTGGCTGGTCAGCCGAACGGACCGTCTCGGCTGGCCGGAAGCGGTAAAGACGAGGCAGTCGGGCAGGCCCACTTCTCCGAAGGAGTCATGCTGTCGATGGTGCAGGAAACGGCCCACATCTGGTACCGGCCAAAGATGTCTCGTGATGAAGGTAGCTGAAAATTGTGTTCATATTGGCGAAGAGTTACGTTAAACGGAAAACTATTGGAATCGCTATTGTGTATAGACACTGACACACTGACACATACACATAGGCACACACACTCGAGCAAAAGTAGCAAGACCAGTGTGGAAGAAAATTAAAAAAACCACTCCATATATATTTATATATATATATATATATATACCTATCTATCTATATATCTATCTAACTTTCTTTCTTTCTTTTTTCCTTTCTGTCTTTCTTTATATCTTTTTTTCTATCTATCTATCTATCTACCAATCTATCTACCTATCTATCTTTCTTTCTATCCTTCTTTCTTTCTTTCTTT